AGGTCACTGGGAGAGCAGCTGCAGGACCGTGTGGGGGAGATGTCAGGGAGACAGATATGCAGTGCAGGTCACTGGGAGAGCAGCTGCAGGACCGTGTGGGGGAGATGTCAGGGAGACAGATATGCAGTGCAGGTCACTGGGAGAGCAGCTGCAGGACCGTGTGGGGGAGATGTCAGGGAGACAGATATGCAGTGCAGGTCACTGGGAGAGCAGCTGCAGGACCGTGTGGGGGAGATGTCAGGTGCATGCCCATCAGCCCATTTCTACACTTCTTCCGGGAGACCTACTAATGATCTCAACAGCACCTGACCTCCCAGGCTCGCCCAGAGCCAGGCTGAGGGCAAGAGCAGTGGCTGAGATGAACACAGAGCCAGTCCCCTTGGAGGTCCCAGGTGAGTGGGACAGTCAGACAAAGACAAAACACTTCAACACCAGGCCTCATCATGGGAATGCAGGACTGATGACAGCTAAGCATCAGCTGGCTCAGTTTACAGGAGCAAAGGTGGTGTCAGGAGGGCTTCTAGAAGGAGCAGATGCCTGCTTCAAGGCTTAGGTACAAGGGGAGTATTAACAGAGTGAGGTGGTGTTTAACTTTAATCTAGTGCTTGGGAGGCAGAGACAGGAGGATCTCTGTGAGTATGAGACACAGCGAGCTAAGGACAGTGAAACTACACAGATGGACACCATCTCAAAAGATGGAAAACAAAGGCTGAGCATGCCAGCCTTTAACTGCAGCACTCGGGAGAATCCCAGCAGAGGCACGGAGCTCTGAGTTCAGGCCAGCCTGATCTACAGAGTGAGTTTCAGGACAGCCAGGGCCACACAGAGAAACCCTGTCTCAAAAAACAGGAAAAAAGAATAAAAGGAGCAGAAGCCATAGCCACTCCACACCATCGAGGTCCATGTGCCCACCCAAATGGGCACTGTCACCAAGCACCCTGTCACAGGTGTTTCTCAGAAGGTCAAGAACCCAGCTGGACTGCACTGTCAGCAGCCACCTTAGGCACTGTGGTACCTGCTGTGTGGCAGCCCTGGGCAGTATGAGGTTAACAGGGGAACCAGTCATGGTCCCTGCCCTCAAGCAGCATCTAACAACTAAGGGAAAGGAGAGTCTCAATACTGGCAGTCACAAGTCCCAGCCCTTCCTGCTGATACCCTAGCCTCTGGGTTGACCTTTACAATATGCTCATAAAGTATATTGCTACTATCCCCAACTTTATTGCAGTGGGACCTAAGGTTGGTGGCCCTGGTCACACAGGGAAGTAGCAGAGCAGAACAGAACTCAGATAGGGCTCAGTAGCCACCAGGCAATAAAGCAGGCTGTAAGACTTCAGGGAAGAGAAGAAAGAACAGCATCTGAAGGGCTATCGGGCTATAGAGAGAGACTCCGGGGAGGCTTCCTAGAGGAGGAGGGCAAAGGCTGGGGCCTGGCAGAGCCGACACTCAACAAGCTGGAAGGATACACTGAAGGTCTCATACTTACCCTTCTCTCTACCTGGCTATGACTGGAAGCAATCTGCAGGGTACACACAGGCCCACACATAAGGCATACTATGGGCCTTCCACAAATTGACAATTTCACCTCACCAGTAACTCCACCCGATTTTCCATATGGAAAAGGGAGGTGCCTCAATCTGTTCAAGGCACATGGCAAGTTTGCAACTCTGAGGTCAGTGCTAGAACATTTCTGAACCCTCTAATGTACTGTGAGGCCCACCTGTAAAACCCTTGTCTGGGTGGCTGGGCAGGTGCTTCGGAGTGTCTTTCAGTAGAGGATCCAGATGCTCTGTGTTGGCAGGCACTGTGCTGGGCTCCCAGGAACCAGAGCAGAAGAGGCTGAGTGAGGGGTCCAGGCTAGCATGGATCTCACAGATAGCTGAAGAGGAGACATTGCAGGTAAGCAAGCAGGCTAGGAAGCCCAGGACCTTTGTTATGTATGGCTGACAGTCAGGGAAGACAGGCTGGTGTGGGGAAATGGGTGAGACACATTTACTATTATCAGGAGATACTTTTCTCATGGACTTCTTAGTAACCACGATGCCTTACTCATGGGTTCCTGCTCACAGAGCTAGAAGGTAGCTACCAACATCAATTCTCTACTTCCCTGCTCTATGACCCTGCTAAAAAAAAGAAGAGGAAGAATAGGAGAAGGAAGAGGAGGAGGGGGAAGAGGAAGAGGAGGAGGAAGAGAAAAGTAGCTATGTATATGGCCTGATAATGCTACGTAATCCAATCCTCCTGCCTCCTAGTTCCTAGTGCTGGGATTCTTGGTATATAACATCATACTAGCTACCATCTACCATCAGCCCATTTTAAAGATGGGGAAAGTGATGCTAAAGATGGAAGAGATGTTGCCATCTCACACTGAGGTGTGTTTTTTTTTTTTTCCCCAGAGGCTCTCACTCACAGGAAACCTTTTCTTGGGCCTCTGCAGAGATTCTATTTACCCTGGGCATGAGACGATCCTGGCCTGCTGGTTCTGCTTTTTCTAGCTTTAAATTCCTTCTTCAGTCCTATGACTAGAACCTAGGGCCTTGAACAAGCTAAGAAGGCTATGTGCTCATTTTTTCTGGCTTCCCTCTGACTCTCTCACTGCTGTTCTCTTACTTCTCCACTTGGAGCGTCTTAACACCTCTCCTATTACCTCATGGCCACAGCAGTATAGGGAGAAAGACCAGGAAGACTGTGGTCCAGCCCAAGATCAAGTCATAAGACTGCTGTGTCTGTGTGACTCTGGGTGAACACCTCACTTCCCTCTGAACCTGTCTCATAGTCCAAAAACCAAGATGACAACTGCTGTCTCCTCAGTCTTAGTGAAGAGCAGAGCTTCCCAAAGCACCACGCTCAGCACTTCCAGTCCCTGACTCAGCAATAAGTAAAACCAAAGTCTGAGAGGAAAGAAGGGACCTGAGTTCTGCTCCCTTTGTACAGATAAAGCAGACAAGGCCAACCTACCCAAGGACCAGACAGCACTGGCCACACTGGGTGCTTAAGAACAAGACCTTCTTGAGATTTGTGGTGCTGCAGAGAGGGAAACTGAGGCTTAGAGGACCTGTGGTTCATAAAGGCTCTGCAACATCCCTGTCAGGGTCCAGTAGCTCTGGTGCCAAGACTCATACAGCCTTCCTCAGAGACAGAATGGAGCTGTCATCTGTGCAAGGTCCCATGGGTCTCCCACGTACAACTGACCTGAGGCCATCTCGCTGCCAAAGATGAGGGCTCGTGCCTTTGAGGTGTCAAGACAGTGGCGCAGGGCATCCCGCCTAAGGTTGGTGTTGATGAGAGCCGCCTCCACACCCAGCTTGGCCATGCCTAGCCACAGACCTACAAACTCATTACGGTTTTCCATAAAGAGGGCAACTACATTGCCTGAGGCCAGGCCCCGGGCCTGCAGGAAGTTGGCCACACTATTGGAGTAGTCATCCAGCTGGCGGAAGGTCCAGTGAGTGTCTGTGCCCTCGAAAATCAGGGCTGTCTTGTCGGGGTGGCGCCGTACCACTGAGGCAAACAGCAAGGGCACTGTCTTCCGTTCCTGAAGGTAGCGTCGGACCTTGGTCTTCACCTTCAGGAGCACCATGCCACCGCTGTGTGGGAGCAAACAAGCCATGAGTGCTAAGCTAGGCTCCTGACATTCAACCCAGGCTGCTGTCCAAACAGCCTGAGGCTCAAGAACCATCTAGCTAGCTTTCATTCTTTTGGTTCTCTGAGACAGGATTCCTCTGTGTAGCCTCCATTGTCCTCAAACTCAGAGACCTGCCTGCTTCTGCCTCCCAAGTGCTGGGATTTAAGGTGTGTGCCACCATGTCCAGCCTCAGAGTTCTACTCTTACTTACTCTTCTCTTCTAAGTCTGTTGTTCTGCTAGACGCCCTCTAGGGCCCCAAGCCCACAGTCTAGACACCACATCTGGAGAACTGGAGCCTCCCTTAGTCCTCACTGCCATAGAAAATTAGCTGGAGGCAGGTACCTGTCACATTTACTACCTTGTCTCCTAGGCCTCCTCCATGCTGGGCACAGGGAAAATATTCAGTGCTTGTGGAACAGCCTCCATACCCACCCCACCGACCGCCAGCTTCTTTGTCAGTGCTGGTGCTCTTAATCACCCCCCACCTGCACAGCACCTTTCCCTCCAGGAGAGCTCCTGGATTTCTGGCCTAAGTTCCTCATCTGAGGCTCCCTCTCTCTGTCCCATGCTCCCACAGTTCCTATGGGGCCACTAGAGACCTTTTATAGTTAGCCCAGACTGACAAACACTGAGTTGTTCATTCTAGGCAAGGCTCCTTGTTCTGGGTACTAGAAAATAGACGTGAGTAAGACCACCAGGGTCTCCACAGCAATGGCAGACAGCTTAGGGAGTTGCTTCATCCCTTTCTTACCATCTAAAAGTCAGACCTTCACAGATGGAGTCTACCTTCTTCCTCTCTGGGCCTCAGAACCAGCCTAGAACCTAGCATACAGCAACTAGGAGCAATTTCTCCCAGACATCTAACTCAGGGTTTGTGCTAGCATCCAGCGTCTCCCTGGGCTCTCTTAGGCTGTGCCAACCTAAGGAAAGGTCCTTTTCCCCTAGGGTCTTCTTCACCTTGCCATGAACAGTGTCCACAGGACCCTTCACAGACATCTCTTCAACAAATTTGCTTTGATGTGTGCCCCAGCTTCCAAAACCTGCCCCAGGTCAAGGAGTCTCAGGTTTAGGAGATTCCTTGAGAGACTTTGACCTTGGAGATGAAAGTTCTAGGTATGACTGCCAGGAGAAGGGTGTAGAGAAGGCGCTGTTCCTTTAATGACCCAGATGTCTTGTGCGGCAGGGATAACAGCTGGTAAAGCCCAGCACAGCTGAGACCCCCAAGACAGGCTAGATATGGTACTCACAAGACATCTCTCCTGACCGTCTTGATGAAGACCCGGATGAAACGCCAGCCACCAGACCCCAAGTACAGGAGCAACAGGGAGAATCCCACCTGGGCCCAGGGCAGCTTCAGCACTAGCTTGGAGAACAGTAGTGCTCCTACCAGAGATGCTCCAAGCAGCATTGTGACCTGCAGGTGCAAGGCAGTTAGGAAACTCAAACAACTATTTCTTAGGGGCCTTTATCTCTTCAGTATGATTCCAAAGAGTCAGCCTATGGGGATTACCTAGTCACCTCAAAAGGGGTGGCTTAGAAAAAGGGTCAAGGCTTTGGTTCCATGTCAAGCTGGAAAGGACTTGAGATCTAAAGCTTTGGGTTTAAGAAACAAGAGGATGATCTATCTACCTTTTGGGTCTATCTTTGACCACCTCGCCAAGTGTCCTTGGGCTAGCTTCTCCTACTTCAGGCCATAGCACCTTGCTCTATGCAATGGGTTAGTAAGACTTGTTCTTAGAATCTTTCTAGCCCAAACAGGACAATCCATTCACCTATATTCAAATACTTTAACCAAGATGGCTGGGCACTGATATGTGTCTCTGGCTTGACTCCTCTCCTAGGGACTCCAGGAGGTTCTAGAGATGACAACACCCAAAAGGGCAGCTTCCTGGGAAGGGAGCCCTGCACAGTCTCTGCCCACAGACTCAAGGCAGCGTTGTGCCTCGACTGGTCCATAGAGGGCGAGCCAGCAAATGGGTTAGAGGCAGGAGGGGCCTTAGAGGTGACAGCCCGGGTAGGGTGGAAAGAGGTGATTGTTGGACAGGAAAAGGATTTTGAAGCACTGCACTCACCTATACCCATACATTCATATGAACCTTTGGGGACTAGGGCTGAGAAGAAGGGGAAAAGGCTGTGTTGAAGCCTAGGGCAGAGATTAAGGCCCAAACTCTATTCCTGCTTCTTTATGGATTTAGTCAAGAGGACAGCTAATGGACTGGTTTTCTTGGGAAGAGCAGAAGGTCAAGGATATGAATGAAGTAGCCTGAATATCTCCAAGCTAGGCGGAGGAGCAGGACCTGGACCATAGGGAATCCCTTATGAGACTGCTTTCTGGAGAAAAACATTAAGCCAGGGGTGGGAGGACTATTGCAGGATCGCTAGGATTCTTAGCTCTCTGACTTGACAGAGCCAGTCAGAAAAGAGGCTAGGAGCCGGTCTAAGACCGCCGAGAGAGGAGACAGGACAGGAGGGGTGCCGCGGACTGACCTGCCTCTGGACAGCTAGGACATCAGAGCGCTCGCAGGACTAGGAGAAGGAGGGCGCGCCCCTTAGCCGGAGCCGGCACCGCCGTCTCCCCCTGCTCGGCCTGGCACGTTTTGCCCCAGCTCAGAAAGCCGCCGTCCCCGCCTTAGCTTACCCGGCTGCGGCTGCGCGGCGTGGCGCCCCGTCAAGATGCGGCCCGGTTGCGGCAGCGGAGTGCGGTGCGCTGGGGGCATCGGCCGCCCCGGGGCGCACACAGCGGAGCCTCAGCGCGTCTGGCCCACTCCTCGCTCTTGTAGGGTCTGTACCTCTGCCACGCTCCACCCCCACCCGCCTCCCGCACCCGCACCGGCTGTGCTGGCCGGCAGCACCGCTTTCCGTACCGTCCCCGCACAGCAGAAGGCGAGCTTCTGAGCCCGTGCGCCTCAGCGCAACCCAGCCCCAGCGCGCCCGACACCGCCCAGTCCCTCCAGCCCTGCGCGCGCCACTGCCTCCGCAGCCGCCCGGCCCGCTGGGAGTGGTAGGCTGAGCTGCACGGCATGCTGGGAGTTGTAGTCCTAATAGCCTAGCTTGTTCTGGCTGCTGAAGTTGCCCCTGGTCAGGCAGTGTGTAGATCTGCTCTTTGGGTCATCCCTCTCTGCAACTGTCTGGACTAGGACCCAGGTAGAATATACCCGCCCACAGACCATTCAAGAACCCAGAGCCAGAGCTGAGGCCCAAGTAGAATTTGTTTAACTTATTATTAACATTTGTTTGCTTATTTGTGTATGCCAAAGCCCCTGTATGGTCAGAGGACAACTCGTGGGAATTGATTCTGTTCTTACACCATGAGCTCCAGGGATCAATTTAAGGTTATTAGCCTTGGCCCTCAGGCATGGGTTCAGGCACCTTTCCCTGATCCACCTTGCCAGTCCTGTTTGTTTTTTGAAACAGGGTAGTAACTTTGCCCTGAATCTTGTTGCAGTCAATCTACTTCAGCCATGAGTACTGGCATTACAGGCATGAACTACCACACTTGTCTTGAAATAGAATTTAACAAATGTTTAATACCACTTGCTGAAAAAAAAAAAGCTGGATTCTGGCAGAGGTGAGCCTGCACAAAGAGTAATTATGGGTTCTGGCAGAATACACAGGGCATCAGGCTTCTAGACCATTTGGAATGGTTATTCACCACGGCTGAGTACAATTGCTCCCTTGGGACTTTTACAGTTTTTAGTACCTTCACAAAGTTCAGAAAGAGCTGGAGTCTCCTGAAAGGTCAGGATTTAAAGCCTGTGTAACTAACTTTAACCCTGACTGATAACACTCCAGAACACTGGTTTCTTCCTAAACTGAGAGCTTTGTCAAGTCACCTGTCTAGCTGTAGGCGAGAGTCCAGACTCACAGCCTGTGGGGTTGAGAGCCTCTGAAGAGTTTTGGGGTGACTAAGCAACTTGCTCATCTACTGCTGCCTCTTGTCCTTAAATAGCTCCTTCAATGACTCAGCCTGGTTAAGTTTTTAAAGGGGGAGGGGTGGTTAAAGGTCCATTTATAGGGGTTACAGATGAAATTTTGGTATGATGATGGTCTGGACCTGTTCAGGAGTGCATCCTTCAGAGAGTTTTGATAGTAAGCTAAAAGGATGTCTCCGGGGCTATAACAGCAGGTGCCCCATGCTCACAGGCATGGGCATTACAAACTAACAGGAGAATCATGTTCTCAGGAGAAACTTCCAAATCTCAGTCCCTTCTTTTGTATTAAAAGTGAGTTTGGGGGTCAGGCAAGCATGGTGGTACATAACTTTAATTCCAGCACTTGGGCTGCGGAGACTCTCTGTGAGTTTGTACTATACAGGCTATACAGGGAGAATTTTGTCTCAAACAAATGAACAATATGTGAGCATAGATATGGTTCACGGGCTCACCTCACAGCACAGGTGTGCAGATTCATGGACACATTTGAAATACCACTGGCATATTTATTATTATAGTTTATAGGCTGGCTACAGAGAGCACATACATCAAGCTCTAGGAGACATTTTGGCTCCCAGTGTTTGAAGTTATCCCAAGTGCATAGCGTGTCAGGCTGGAGCTGGACGTAAAGCTTAGTAGAAGAGCCATACCTAGCTTGCCCAAGACCCTCCTTTGATCCCAGAACCAGAAAAAAACAACCAAAAAAGCCAAGCAGGGCATTATGACACACACCTTCCCTGCCCACTCATGCACGTGTCCTCTTTGGTACATACATACTTTTAGTTTCCACATGCAAGAGCAGAGGCAAGCAGGTCTCTGTGAGTTGGAGGTCAGCATCTTCTACACAGTGAGTTCCAGGTGAGCCAGGGCTACAGAGAGACCCTGTTGACGCCCTGTCTCAACATCAACTAAGTAACCAAGGAGGAGGGGTCTGGGGAGTTGACTCAGTAGTGGAGCACTTGTTGCTGACCAGAGGGTCTAAGTCTGCTTCCCAGCACTCACAGCCCACAGTTGCCTATAACTCCTACTCCAGGGACTCTGAAGCCCTCTTTTAGCCTTTGCAAAACATGCATACACATACATATATAAATAGAATTTGTTTTTCAAATAAGGAAAGAAGGAGCAGGCCAGCCTAGGCCATATAACATGGCAAAGCTTTGTATCAGATTAAAAACTCTGGGTAGAAAGATCCTGTCTGGTCACACGCACAGGGATTAGTGAGGAATAGAGCAAAATGCTTGTTGAATAAAAAGAGAAAAAGTGAGGAGAGTGTGGTAACCACTGAGTGCAAACACACGTCCTAGACTGTTGAGGTCATCTGCAAGGAAGCAAGTGTGTTTGGGAGAGGGGACTGCTGTCCTCTTACTAGACTTGTCACAGTGGTCAAATCCCACAGAACACTGGGCTAGGCCTGAGGTCTAGAAACCAAACACAGATAAGCAAGACATCCTGCCTTCAAGCTGCTTGGCATGGTTGGACAGAGAGGGTGGGTACAGACTGGACTAGGCTGCTCCTCACCGCATTCTGGCATTTCACTGCCTAACGCTTTCCTTGGGCCGTCTTCTTTCCCTCCTAGTCAGACACAGCTAGGATGGAGTTCCTCAGTGGCTAGGCTTTGAGAAATCACTTTCCCAAAAGTCCAGAGCCTATCTGCATCTGTTGAGTAGGTGCATCTCCTGGGGCCGGCAAGAATTCAAGGTGACACATCTGGAGCTGGCCCACAGAAGACCCTCAGCTGGCTTCAACTCTAAGGCCAGAAGTGGTACTGTTTCCATTATTGCTGGTGATAGTATTGACAACTTGATAGTCTGTGGTCACTTGGGAGGTAGGCCTCAGGCCATGCCCGTGGGGGAATTATCTTACATTAATAATGTGAGGATATCCATCTTAATTGAGGGTGGGATTATTCCCTGGGCAGAGGTTCTGAACTGTATACAATGAAGAAAAGTACCCAGGCATGACGGTACATGCCTTTAACCCTGTCTCAAACAAAACAAAACAAAACAAAACAAAACAAACCCCCCCCAAAAAAAAAGAAAAAAAAAAGAAATCTGCCTGCCTCTGCCTCCCAAGTGCTGAGATTAAAGGCGTGCGCCACCACTGCCCAGCCAAGATTTGTTTATTTCATGTATGTGGGCACTGTTGCTGTTTTCAGACACACCAGAAGAGAGCATTAGATCCCATTACAGATGGTTGTGAGCCACCATGTAGTTGCTGGGAACTGAACTCAAGACCTCTGGAAGAGCAGTCAGTGCTCTTAACCGCTGAGCCATCTCTCGAGCCCAGCCTATCATTTTAGATACAGTTTTCACATTTTATTTTGCACGTGTGAGTGCATGCACACCATGGCACATTTGGGCTGGTCAGGACAACTTGCAGAAGTTGTTTTTCACCTTCCACTCTTTGGGTCTTGGGGACGGATGTCAGGTCTTCAGGCCTGGTGGCGTGTGTTTTTACATTTGTAAGCCATCTAATAAGCCGTTTTGGGTTGGAGAGATGGCTCAATCGTTAATAACATGGACTGTTTTGACAGAGGTCCCGAGTTCAATTCCCAGCAACCACATGGTGGCTCACAACCATCTGTAATGGGATCCGATGCCCTCTTCTAATGTGTCTGAAGACAGATACAGTATACTCACATAAATAATCTTAAAAAAAAAGCCTGGTTTTATTTTATTTTGTTCCAGTTTTGAAGTTTCATTTTGTTGAGTGTGTGTGTGTATGTGTGTGTGTGTGTATGGTGCATGCAGATGTTGGTAGACAACTTGTGAGAGACCATTATCTTCCTACCATGTTCACGCTGGGCGGTGGTGGCGCACGCCTTTAATCCCAGTACTTGGGAGGCAGAGGCAGACGGATTTCTGAGTTCGAGGCCAGCCTAGTCTACAGAGTGAGTTCAGGACAGCCAGGGCTACACAGAGAAACTCTGTCTCCAAAAACCAAAAACCAAAAAGCAAAAAAAAAAAAAAAAAAAAAAAAGGAAGTGCCTTTACTGTTGACCCATAGGCACTGTCACTGTTCCTCAGCTGATGTCAAAAATCTGGCTTAGAAATAGAAGGGACAGCCGGGCAGTGGTGGCGCACGCCTTTAATCCCAGCACTCGGGAGGCAGAGGCAGGCGGATTTCTGAGTTCGAGGCCAGCCTGGTCTACAGAGTGAGTTCCAGGACAGCCCGGGCTATACAGAGAAACCCTGTCTCGAAAAAAAAACAAAAAAAAAACAAAAAAAAAACAAAACAAAAAAAAAATAGAAGGGACTTGTTAGTCTTCTGCTGGCTGGGGACTTGATTCCTAGACATCAGACCTAGTCTTCAGACCCAATGACAGCAACAACCAATTGGAATCCAATTGGGGTGGGATTCCACTCCCCAGTACCCCAGGCAAAGGGGGCTAGGCTAAGGATGACCAGCAGACTCTAGGCCTGATGGAGCTTTATTTAGACACCAGAGACAACTCCTCTTTCCCACCACTCTGCTCAGGGCTTGGCAACACGATGTAGTAGTCAAGCTTTCAAAGACAGAGTTTGGCAGGATGCGCTGTCAGAGTCACTGTCCAAAAGTGGGGTCTCCAACCTGAACTATCAGTATGACCCAAGATAGCTGTTCCAGGCACACCTACTGCTCCCTCCTGATGGCTCGAAGCAGCCTGGTGGCCCACTGCCCCGCCTCTCTCTCCTGGGCTGGCCCTCAAGGCACATGGTAGCAATGACTATAAAAATTATAATAAGTGACACTCTGAGTTCAAGGTTCAAAGAGTAGAAACAAAAGCAGCCGAGGGGCTCCTTTGTTTCGAGGAAGGCAGTGTGTGGAGAGGAAGGCTCCGTCCTCCCTGTGTAGCAGCTCAGGCTAGGCTGGACCCTGGAAATGTTTTGGAGGAGGACTGATGCCCAGTTCCTCCCGCAGGGCTGTCAGGGACTGCTCCCAACGCTGCTCATAGTAGATGTTGAGGGCACACGGGGCCCTGCGGCCATTCTGAATCGCCCAAGGGATCAGCTCCGAGAACAGTACTCGGAGGCTCCTGGAGGGGGCAGCAGAGAGAAGAAAAGCCATAAAGTCCCCAAACTGTCCTCAGTCAGCCCTCCCTCAGCCCCACACAGATCTCAGTGAGGAGAGCTCCCACTCCTCAGAGCACACACCTTGAATGATGAAGCTTAGATTTAAATAAAGGGTTGCCCAATTCCAGAAGCTTCACCTTCATGAGACCCTGTTCGTTCTGACCAAGCTCCTGAGGCCTGACCCCAGAGACCCTGGGGCTCATTGACTCAGTTTCCCTTTCTGCATCATTCTTCCCATCCTTGTTTTCTGGAGAGGCATGAAGCACCTGTATGCCATCCCTCCTTCCTGGAGCCCCAGCCCTTCTGAGGTCTCCTCCCATCCCAGAAAACTTACTGAGCACGGAGGCGGATGGGTCCAAAGAGTGCTCCCAGGATGCACATGGGTAGGCCGGTCTGCACAGCTTCAAACCACTTTACCACAATCTCTCCTAGAGGTAAGGGAGGGTAGGAGGTGGGGGGGGGTAAGGGAGGTCAGTGATGCTGAAGTGGCCCGAGAAGCATGCTCCCCTTTCGCACTGTAGGGTTTGGTGGGGTCTAGTCTCATCTTATGTGGGCTGTGGGACATTTGGCTAGAAGAGAAGGCCAAAGAGGAGAATCACAGGGATAGCATGCAGAGGATCTCAAAGGACAGGCTGAAAACAGAGTATACAGGCCGCAGGGACCCTTGATGACTAGATGCTGAGATGAGGCTGGGAGGCAGGGAGGACGAGGCTGGACGGCAGGGATGCTGTCAGGGCGCATACAATGCAGAAGGCAGGACGTAGCTAGTGATACAGAGGAGCAGGAACTGGGACCCTGCCTGGCAGGCAGACCTGGGCTGGGGTCAGTTGGCTGTCCCACCACCACTCACCAAGCATATTGGTGGGCATCCCAAGCAGGGTGTGGAGCATGTCATGCACCTCACGGTATCTCTGGATCACGTAGGCTAGCTCTTCATCATCCACAAAACGTGTAGGTGCTCGTGTATCTGGAGAGACTTTCTGGAGAACACAATCCCTCCTTGGACTCTTTCCCATCAGCCCCCAGGGCCTTGGTGGCCTGCCACTAGTTGACGTTCAGCTATGTCCCACCGAGCACATACCCTATCTGAGAATCCTGCTGCTGTTCCCACACCTGCTAACTGGGAGCCTCAGGTAACGATTACTCCAACCCCCACTCCAGTTCACACCTCACACAATGCTGGCAGCCTGGTGGAGTCTACAGCTTTAGTGAGGAGAGGGGGAATAGGTATGGACTTTCTGTTTTGTAAGACAGAAGTTCTGAGATTAGTTGCATTAAAAAACAAAAACACACAGAACCTACCAGGAGCTAAGGAGATGATTTGGTCAATGGAGTAACTGCTGTACAAGTGCGAGGCTCTGAGCCCCATCCCCAACACCCAGGTAAGAAATAACACACAAATAAACGAGTAAATAAATAAATAAATAAATAGGTGGCTGCTCATGTGCCTGTAATCCCAGCACAAGGAAAGCAGAAACAAGAGGCCAAGAGGTGACCCAGGGCTCACAGGCCAGCCAGTTTAGCCAGATTGATGGGCTCTAAATTCAATGAGAGACTGACTTGAACATAAAAGTTTGAGGAAGATATTTGATGTCAGTCTCCAAGATCTTCACACAGGCACAGGCACACGTACACACACATACACACAATCGTACATGTAAAAGAAACATACTGTTGCTGAACTATAAACTTAAAAATGGTTGTGATGGGCTGGGGGTATAGCTCAGTTGATAGAGTGTGGGCCTAGCCTAGCATATTCTCAGTACTGCATACAACCAGGCACAGTGGCATATAGCTGTAATCCTGGCAGTTGGAAGGTAGAGATAGAAGAATCAGGAGTTCAAGGTCATCTTTAGCTACATAGACAATTTGAGGCTACCCTGGGCTATGGGCCTTTCCCAAAAATCAAAATAAATAAGTAAATCCAAAATGTTATTAGATTATTTCTGCTTCCTTTTGCTTTTAAGGAGCCAGTAGGAAGCTTTAAAGTCCCTGTGTGGCCAGAGTTGTTTTGTATGCTTTGGGACCAGCTGGCCATTTCACTCACTATTGTGACTCTGGTGCCTGGTCTAGGAGGTTTTAGAGTCTCTTCCCACATGGCCCTGGCTGACCTTGAGCTCAGGGCAAGTCTTCTGCCTCAGTCTCCTTAATGCTGGAGAGTACAGGTGTGTACACGCCCAGCACAGGTTGATTATCCTTACTTACTCAACCCTGCTTCTCTGAGTCTGCTTCTGTGCCTGAAGAGCCTGGGGTCACCCTAGCTGGCCTGGTCCAACGTGGCTTCAGCTCACATGGAAGCTGATGGATCTGAGGTCTTTGTTGCCTCCAGGCAGCTGGCACAGCACTATGCTCGGTGTTAACATAACCTCTGGCCTTGCTGGGCCCCAAGACCTCACTTCTTGCTGTGCTAGGAGGAAGCAACTGCAGCAGCAGTAGCTGCTTTCACCAAGGACCTACTATGTGCAGATTCTATATGATGTCCTCCACATAGACTGTCATATTTTATCCTTACAGTAATCCAAGAGGTACACACTATTACTAATTTCAGAAATAGGTGAGAAAAATGTGGCTAGGAAGGTAAAGATACCACAGCTGAGGTAGCTGGAACAAACTCTGTTGGTCTACAAAGCCAGCAGCCTTGACACCCATTATCGATCAGTCATATTAATGCCCTGGAGGTGAAGGCTCTGTCATCTTTCTGGGGGAGATTCTCTGCAGGGCTGTGAGACTAGGAAGAGACTCGGGACATTTCCCATGTTTCTTCAACTTGCCAAAGGATGACCACGCCTTTCAGCACTGCCAGCCTCTGTTCCTGTGACTTTACCTTGAACTTTCACCTAAATCTCTGTAAGGCTCAAGGTGCTTCTTTCCATTCTGTGGCTGGTTTCCTTGTGTTAGAAGTGCCACATCTCCAGACTGTCACCATAGTAGGGAATACACTAGGTAAGGTGCCCAGGACAGCCCTAATAGACCTCCTCCCCATACCAGCAACAGGACTAAAGACTGTGGGCAATGCAGAAGCTGTCCCTCCCATGGTGGCACTTGGGGCAGGTTCCTCACTGATGAAATAACCTGCACCCTGGTGAAACTAGGGCAGGTAACTGCCCTGCCAAGGCAAAGGTGCTAGGAGAAAGTGAGAGGCAGCTTGCGTCCGGGGGCACTTCCTTCATTGAGTAGTGGTTCTCGACTGCTCATCAGGGATCTTTACAGTGTCTGGACATTTAAGGTTGTTACCAGTGTATGGATGAGGGAGTCAACAGGCGTCTGGTAGGTAGAAGTCAGGGATGCTACTAAAGAGCCTACGAGGCACAGGACAGCTTCTCAGTCAAGACTCACCCAACCCACAGCAGCAGTGCATAACTCTAAGAACTTGTTCTATAGTAACTCTCAGCCACGCCCCCCCCTCCTTCAGCCTGGCTGGCTTCTGGCTGAGTGCCTAGAGCTGTTAAGCTTCAAAGAGATGTGTGCATGATAGAGGGAGGGGACAGGTGGAGTAGGAAAACTGGATTATACTGAGCTTTCGTTTATTTCATTTTGAGAGAGGGTCTCTGTGTAGCCCTGGCTGTCCTGGAACTGTGTAGACCAGAGATCCACCCACTTCTGTCCCTCAAAAGCTGGGATTACTATTTTAAAACTTTCCAATCACTTTTAATGGTTCCTATTACAAAATGCAGTTTCTTTCCCAAGGCCCCAGGACAACGATCAGCCTAATCTTTCCCAGTCCCCTATTCACGCCTCTTTAGTATATTTTGTCTGTCTGTAGACTTATGCTGGGGACAGAGCCCAGGGCCTTAGACATGCTGAACTATCTACCACTGAGCTTTGCCCTCAGACCCTCCAATGTTTTGCTTTGTTATTCTTCTTTTAATATATACATGACTGTTGTTCACATATATCTATGCACCAAGTGTGTGCTAGCAGCCCACAGAGACCAGAAGAGCATGTCAGATCTCCTGGAACTGGAGTTATAGAAGGCTATGAGTTGCCATGTGGGTGCTGGGGATTGAATCAGGTCCTCTGAAAGAGCAGTAAACAGTCTTAACCACTAAGCTCTCTCCAGCCTGTTTGCCTTTAAGTATAGCCTGTAAGTACAGGAGGTATGGTTACTCCCTATGTAGTCAGGTCGATATTGAATTTAGTGGTAACCCTCCTGCTTCAACCAGGCATGTAGGAGTAAGTACATCATAGCAATTGGCTTGATTTCCTTTTTCTTTCTTGATACATGTGTGGCATATGTGCACATGTATGATGTGTGTGGTGGCCAGAGGTTAGTGTTGAGTGTCTCTTCCTTACTCTCCATCTCATTTCTGAGACAAATCTCTAACTGCACCAGGGGCTCAGTGATACAGGTCAGCTGACTGGACAGTGACCGTCTGGGATCAGATACCCCTCCCTCTGCAGTGCTAGGGTTACAGGTATGAACTGCCAGGTCTGCTTTTACAAACTCAGGCCCCTGTGTTGAAGCATCAGTCACTGAACCAGCTGGAGCTGTCCTCCCAGCCTTGTGTTGTCCTGATTCTTTGAGCTTGTTTATTCATCTGCTTAGAGAGCCCTTCCACAGAACTCTACAAAGCTGACAGCGTCCCATCTTCCAAGTCTCCCTGGAAAGGTCTCTCCTGACCACTGAACCAGCAGTGGCTACCCCTACTCCATCCAGAGATATCCTCTGCACCATTGTCTTGTTCCCTTCAGCATGCCCGCCCCTGAGGCTGTAGGCTCCCCAGCAAGATATTTGGCTATTTTAGTTCATTGTGTCCTATGGCTGAGCAGGATGTCTGATGTATTCTGAGAACTTAAGAAATACTTTACTGCCGGGCGGTGGTGGCGCACGCCTTTAGTCCCAGCACTTGGGAGGCAGAGGCAGGCGGATTTCTGAGTTCGAGAGTTCGAGGCTAGCCTGGTCTACAGAGTGAGTTCCCAGGACAGCCAGGGCTACACAGAGAAACCCTGTCTCAAAAAAACAAAACAAAACAAAACAAAACAAAAAAAAAGAAATACTTTACTGCCGGGTGGTGGCGGTGCACACCTTTAATCCCAGCACTTGGGAGGCAGAGACAGGCGGATTTCTGAGTTCAAGGCCAGCCTGGACTACAGAGTGAGTTCCAGGACAGCCAGGGCTACACAGAGAAACCCTGTCTCCAAAAACCAAAAAAAAAAAAAAAAAGCAGGAGGAGCAGGGTCTTGTGTAACCCAGGTTGGCCAAACATTCACTACATGGGTAAGACCAACCCTGAGCTTCTGATTACCTCTCCTCTATCCCACAGTTCATGCCGGGAACTGGCCCCAGGCCTTTCTATGTGAACTTGACCAACTGAGCTATCTCCTCAGACCACTACATTTTAATTTCAGTTTTTAAAACTACTTTATGAACTGACTCTCTAATAAGAGCACAAGCTTCAGGAGGTCAGGAACCTGGCTTGCTACACCACAGCGCATGGAATGATGGGTGGCAGATGCTCAGTAATGGGAATCCTCTCCTCCCACCATCTCTTGCCTGGTGCAGGACAGTCCCACACTGGTTCCCAGGCCTCTGGGTGGAACACTGCCCAGGGTAGGACTAGCTGCTCGCTCTGTGCCTGAGTCCTCATGTCTTGCAAGAGGATGCCAATAGAACTTACTAGAAAGGTCACTGGGAGGATCCAGCCAGGTCATGTACCAGCCTGGCAGCTGGCACACAACAGGAGGTGAGTAACCTCCAGTATTTGGGATGACATTACCAGACCATTTATCCATCACACAGAAAAATGTCAAAGACTGAAAAGCACTCCTGCCTTAGCTGGCATCAGGCATCCTCCCGCCCTAGGCTAAATCCTCCCATGCCACCTGCTACCCTTATTGGTAACTGCTGGATACACAGAGCCTGGAAACTCACATTCACATCCAAGAAGCGAAGATACTCACGGCCCAGAGAGCCTTCAGGCAGGCTCCGGAGCTTGCTTAGGTCGAGGGTAGACAGTGAGATCCGGGGACGCTCTCTGAAAGATAGAGTGTAGGAGGAAGGGCTGGGCGTGTGTCCGCCAAGGCAAGTGAAAGGGTCACAGAAAGGAAGCTGAGGCAGGCATAGGAACACAGGACATCTGTGTAGCCACAAGCCCTAACGGAGCACTGCAGCATTAGGGACTGTGGAGACCATCACAACCCAGGGCTGAGCTGGTGCCTTTAAGGCACAATCTAGTTAGAGAAGAAGGGCCACAGATGTCAGGGAGGGGATAGAGAGAGCACATTTGGAGAAGTACAGCTAGCCACTGAGAGCTTAGTGCAAGCAGAGTCTTGTGACTGACACTGGATTAAGAGGACATATTGTACAACCCAGGGGATCCATCCCACATACATACATGTGTGCTCTTGGCTTTGAGCAGTGCCCCAGGCAATGCATCCCCCCATGGTCCTCTGAAGGGCTCCTTACAGGATGAGGATTGACACATCCTTGCCAATGCCAAGGCAAAGTTGGGACCTACTGTAGAATCTGGGCACCCTCTGGATCCTTCTTCATCTGGTCTCTGAGGAATTTCAGGGTGTGGCATCCTGTGGTCTCTCCTAGAACTGCCACCATGTCTAAAAGGACAGAGACGGGCAAAGACAGAGGATGGAATCTTTTCGTTTGTTTGTTTGTTTGTTTTTGAGACAGTCTCTTTTTGTAAAAATACAGGCTGTCCTGGAACTCACTATGTAGATCAGGCTTGCCTCAAACTCAGAGATCTTTCTGCCTCTGCTTCCTAAGATTAAAGGCTTATACCACTAGGACAGCAAGCTACTATTCTTAGCATTATAAATCTATTGGAATATGGTGGCTTTCATCAACAGTAGGAACCATTTTCACAGTCATTATCGAGACAGAGTGTCGTGTTTCCACTGATTAGTACAGGCCTTGAGATTAAATAGTGATGAACGGCAGTAACTAAGCTCACACAGTGCTGGCTTAGCACACACAAAGCTCTGAGTTTGGTTCCCAGCATCATATAAACTGGGTATGGTAGCACATACCTGTAGTACCAGCATTCAGGGGTTAGGGAGGCAGAGCAATCAGGAACTCAAAGTCATCCTATGGAGTTAGAGGCCAGCTCAGTCTACATGAGACCTCGTCTCAACAAAACAATTTTTTTAAAAAATTGTGTTAGAGATGAGTACAGGGACAGTTACCAGATCCTATACAAACCACATCACATGTCTCTTCCCCTCATCTTTTCTTTCTTTGAACAAAGTCTGGCTTGTATGGAATAAGAAGCTGGTCTTAAACTGTTTCAGTAAAGAAAATCCTGAAGATCATGATCCTTGACCTTACCAAGATGACTTACTACCCAGTGAGAATGTTGTAATGTGGTGTGTACCTGTAAGGTCCTTCAACCCAGAGATTAATATGCTAGGATGACAGACTCTCCCAAGAATTACAAAAAGGCAGACCTGTAGATCTCACGCTTCTTTCCTCCTCTCCTCCCTGTGCCCAGCAGATCCATAACAGTTCTGGCTAGAATCAGGCATCTGATTATCATAAACGTTCCTGGAAACTATGAGATAGGCGCAGCCAGGTTTGAATGTCCACAAACTAAGGCTTTGACAGAAGTCTGGACCGGCCCAAGCTTTCGAGACCGAGAAGTGAACGACCTTACCGTGGCGATAGGGGTTATAGAGTGCCATTCCCGCCGCGCCCGCAGCCAGCAGCATCTTTTGCAGTGAGGTGGTGGGGATGTGGTCCGGGTACAGCAGGCGGGCGCCATGGCTCCCGGCCCTGAGAGGCACATCTGCGGGGCAGGAAAGAGGTAAAAGTGAGAGAAGTCCGGTTCTCCTGTCGCCGTGGACACCAGGGTCAGGGCTGCTCACCTACAGCTGGCGGTGTAGGGTGCGGGAGACTGCGGTAGAGGCGCAAGGAGCGAAGTAGCAGGGTCGCCATGGCAGCGGACGTCCGCGGTGGATGGGCGGGGCTCCGCGGTGGATGGGCGGGGCTCCGCAGGTACGACGGAGGCCCGAGAAGACAAAAGACTCCTTGGGAATTGAACTCACTGTGGCTTTTTGATCGGAGATGTTGTAATGTGGACAGGAGCATGAGAAGAAAAGCCACAAGATTTGTTTGCCACTGACTTAAGACAACTGCTCTGAGCCAGACGTTATTTATAGCGTATGCCTGTCAACTCAGCACTTGAAAACTGGAAGCCGAAGGATCAGTTCAAGATCCTTCTTGGCGAATTCTTAAGTTCGAAAACAGCCTGAGCTACTTGAGACCATGTCTCAAAAACCAAGCCCGGTGTGAATTACCCGTCACTCCAGCACTTGGGAAAGTGGAGACAGGAAAATAAGGAACTTTCGGCAACGTAGCAAGTTTGAGGGCAGTGTGGGTTATATGAGAAACAAACAAAAACTCCTGAAAGGGAATCCGAGATGAACATAACCAAGAACTAGGTTGTTCAATATCCGGCCCTATTTCCTTCTCTATTTCATATTTTCTCTCCGGAGGACAATAAGATACGAACCTCTTCCGGCCAAGGAAACAAGGCGGCTACCTGCAGTAGGGACCACATTTGTGAAAGGACCACACCGCACTTCCGTTCGCATCCTCGCTTCTGGATGGTGTCGTGTGGCCCGGTTCCAGCCATGGGTTCTTCTGGCCTCGCTCGACTGCAGGGGCTCTTCGCTGTCTATAAACCTCCGGGGCTGAAATGGCTGCACGTGCGTGAGACCGTGGAGTTGCAATTGCTTAAAGGTGAGTACTCCGACGCGGATCCACGGTTCTGCATTAGTTCCATCCGATGAGGAATGAGGTCACGTGGCTCATTTGCCTGGTTGTTGCACTTTCTTGTTTTTTTTTTTTCCCTCTTGTACACATTTCGTTACTCCCACTCTCAGCTATTTTCCGTTAGAGAAGTGCATTCTGTAGTATTGATTTTCTCAGGGTTTCTGTTACAGAGTTAGAATTTGAACTATTTTTTTTCTTGTCTTTTTGAGACAGGGTCTCTTGTAATTAATCCGACCTTGAAATCAGTGAGGCCTTGAGAATTCTGACTTTCCTGTCTCCACCTGCCAAATGCTGAGATCACAGCCAGGAACCACCACACCAAGCTTCAAACACTTTTTTTTTCTCCTTCCTTCCTTCCTTCCTTCCTTCCTCCCTCCCTCCCTCCCTCCCTCCCTCCCTCTCTCTCTTTCTTTCTTTCTTTCTACAACTCTCAGGTAGCCTCAAATTTGCTATGTAAGCGGAAGATAACCTTGAACTGTTGACTCTCCTGTCTTCACTACCCAAGGGCTTAGATTACATCTGTGTACCACCACCTCTCGTTAGGGTACTAGGGATGGAACCCAGGGCATCTTGCATATTTACAAACACTCTATGAACTGAGCTAAATTTCCAACCCAGGATTTTTGTTTTGTTTTCTGTTGGTTTGCTTTTCGTTTTCCGAGAATGGTTTCTCTGTGTAGCTCTGGCTCTCCTGGAACTCACTCTGTAGATCAGTCAGGCCTTGAATTCAGAGATCTGCCTGCCTCTGCCTCCCTAGTGCTGAGATTAATGATGTGTGCCACCATACATGGCTTCTGAAGAAGTCCTAGTCTGTTTTCTACAATACACAAACCCATCTTCTATGCTACTGCCTTTCTGCCCTTTCTCTTGGGTGTTGGGGAAGTATTGACAGTGTGTTCTTCTGTGCTTAGGTCTCAATGCACAGCAGCGTTCTGCTCCTGAACAGCGTGTTCGCTTCTTGCTCAGCCCTGTGGAAGGCAGTGAATCGAAGTTGACTCTCACAGCCACCAGTGTGCCTTCCCTCACCACCCACAGACTTGGTAAGGCAGAGTCAGGCAGGATCCTCGCTGTGATGTCATAGGAAATCCCTGGCCTGAGTTAGATTTCTAGCCCAGGGATTGGCAAAGTTCCCTAGAGAGGGAAGATTTTAAACAGCTTAGGCTACAGGCTGTGTTGTTTCCTTGGTCCTGCTCAGCTCTGCCATTGTAGTGCAAAGCACCGTTAGACGGTATAGAAAAGAAAGAGTCTTCTCCTGTTTCAGTTAAGACTGCAGTGCAAAACAGCTATTGAGAGCAGTATATGACAGCCTGTGTCTTCTAGGGAGACTGAAAGGATCATTTAAACTTGGGAGTCCCTGGGCAACACAGTGAGACCCAGCCTCAAAACAAAGTAGACTTGATGCTTTGGCTTGTGAACTATACCTTGCTGACTCTTAACTGTTCTAGGGAAACTGAAAACTTCTGGTAGACCTGTGTTATAATTAATGCCTGCTCTGTACTAGACATCATGTTATCTTTCTCATGTATTGTTTGTATGCATGTGTGCACACCAAGGCATGGGTGTGGAAGTCAGAGGTCATCTTGCAAGACTCACTTCTCTCAGGCCACCATGTTGGTCCCAGGATCAAACTGAGGTCATCAGGCTTGGCAGCAAGTGCCTTTACCCCCTGGGCCACCTCACCAGCCCTTGTTTTTGTATTTTGAGACACAGCCTCCTGTAGGCCAGGCTAGTCTTGAATTCACTATATAGTTGAGTGTGACCTTGAAGTGTGGATTCTGATCCCTTTGCATCTGCCTCCCAAGTGCTGGGGCACATTAGGCTGTAGTCAGTCTTTCAGTGATCAAGAATCTGAATCTGAGGCAATAGGTCAGTATTGTAGACAGACAGACCTAGGTCCACCTTAGGGAGCTCACTGACTCGGGGAGAATGGCCAGGTTTTCTGTCAGCAGGTGCTGTGCAGAGAACCCCATGATCTTGATCCCCAGTGTAATGCCTGATCTCAAAGCCTTTCATGGGGTGAATACTGATAGGCAGAGGAATAAGAGTCCTGCGTTACCTTTTCTCTGGACCCAGGGAACTAGGGAAATAGTGGTCCCAGCTTCCATGGAGGAGAAGGCTGGGAATCCAACCTATCTTAATTTGAGCTCATGAGGTCCTTCTGTTTTAGAGTGAGGGACTCATACCATAAGCCATCCCCAGGGCTCATTAGTTGAGAAGACAAACTGGCTTTTTCTTTGCAGTGCGTGGTCCAGCATTCACAAACCTGATGATCGGTGTGGGACATCGCTTGGATATCCAGGCTTCTGGTGTGCTTGGTAAGTCTTGCGCTCGGTCTGGGGATGTGATGCTGTAGGCTTGGAGAAGCAGCAGGAAGTGATCTGGAGCCTAGCCTGCAGCTTATCTGACCTCCTCCTACTCTTCCCCTCTTTGGTGAGTTTGTATGTGTCATCAGCTGGGAAGGTCCCACCTCTGTCAAGGGATTCCTTCATGAACTGTGGTTAAAGGCCTTTATGGACATTTGTCCACCATGGCCATGATAGATGCTATGCAGTGTTATCAGTGAAGTGAGTAAGACAGGAGCTGAGGCCTGGCCAGGGAATGTTCATGGTCTCCAGAGGAGCTGTCATCAAGTTAGGGTGCAACAGGCATGTGGCCCTATCTTCTCTGGTTGCAGTCTGCATATTGCCAGAGCTGGATACCAAGCTCCAAGTCACAAGCCTTCTGTGGCCTCTGAGTCCACCTCCACACCACCTCCACAGTCGTGGTTCCTGAGGTGCAGGCAGTCAGACATGATCTCATGCCCCCCCCCACCCCACCCCCGTTTCCCTCTCTAGCAGTGAATGAAAAGCCATTATTTCTTTACACAGAGGGATAAACATCAGGGAATAGGAAAGAAGTGGCCACTATTATGGGTCCTTCCTTTGTACCACTAGCTTTCTGTTCATTGCCTCCCCCAGTCTGTATTGTACACAGGCCTGAGCATCTTTATCTGTTTTGCTGATTGAGAGCTTGAGGGCCAAAGATGTTAAAAGTTAAGAGTCAGAAAACCTAGATTCTTGCATTTGTTTCTGAGACAGGGTCTCAGTGAGCCGAGGCTGGCCTCCAGCTGGGTATAAATGACTTTGAGCTCTTGACCTTCTTCATCTGAATGTCGGGAATTGGAGGCATGTGTCACCTTGACTTGGCCTTTTTGTTTTGTTTTTGAGATAGAGTTTCTCTGTGTAGCTCTGGCTGTCCTGGAACTTGATCCATAGACCAGGCTACTCTCAAACTCAGAGATCGACTTGCCTCTGCTTCCTAAGTGCTGAGATTAAAGGCGTGCACCATCACAGTCCAGCTGATTTTGTTTTGTTTTTTAAATTTATGTTTTTATATGAGACAAAGTCTGACTACTGTCAAGGCTGGCCTAGAACTCAAGGTTCTCCAACCTCAGCCTCCTAAGTGCTAGGATTATAGGTGTGTGCCTCTCCTCCAACCCCAGATGGGATTGCAGTTTGGTGGCGCTGGGACAGTGGGCTCTTGCTTTCGGGGATTTTAGGACTCTCTGGGAGCTTCTTGAGGCACTCGGGCTTAGTTCCCACTGGGAGCGAGACGCCATCCTTACGTGAGCCCTGGAGCCACCATCCCAGTGTTGATAATGGCCCCTCCCTTGATGCTGGAGCTCTCCTCATGCCTGTCTGCTACAATGAGGGAAAGAGTTTGAGTGGCAGGGAGTGGCCAGGGTAGTTCCCAGGGAAAGGGACTGGAGATGTGAGAAGGGTCTGGTTGCCTTTCAGTGCTCGCTGTGGGGCACGGACGCAGTCTCCTCACTGACATGTATGATGCTCACCTCACCAAGGTAAGATTGGGCACAGCCTAAGTTGCTCCTTGGTCCTTTCCCAGAGGTCATGGGTAGGGAAGACCGAGGCCACTAGCCAGCATTTTCTGCTTGCTGTAGTTAGGAGAGACTAGAGATACAGCATACTATTCTATTCTGACCACCACCAAGAGCTGTATCCCCTCATGAAAGTCCCACCCCACTTAGCCTTGCTCCCATTTTACAGTTGAGTAGAGTGAGGCTTAGGAAGATCGCATCTTCCCAGAGCCACAAATTCTTTAAAGCCTTCGAAGCTGAAATCTGAGCTTGGATCTGCCCCACACCACAATCTTAAGCCCAGCAGTGTTCTGTTCTCACTGTGAGACAGATGTGGATGTCACTGTCCAGTCCTGGGACTCCTCCAGGACCGGGTGGGGCCTTAGACTGTGGTATTGTGAAGTCTGCCAAGAGGACACTTTAGGTAGCTAGGTCTTCAGTACTGAACGGCACAATCCAGGACTGAACGGTAATCCCGGTCAGGGCTGTGGTGAGACATTTGCCCATTAACCAGTCTGCCAGCCACAGCTCACGGGTCCTTGGGGAGTCAATGAACATCTTATCTTTGTGCCTCAGTTTCCTCTAGTCTATGATGGCAATGAGGGGTAAAGTGACTTCCTGGAGCCTTGGCTAAGCCCCTAGCACAGTACAGGCCACATCACTGCCACCAGTATCTCTCTCCTCCTCGTTCTTGTCACCTGAGGGAAGAGCTGCTGTCTGTACAGAGTTGGAGGAAGGGGAGTTCCTGAAGGCTTCCAGCAGTGCCTGACTTGGGCACTGAAACAGCCCCAGGACATGTGTGGGGTGACACTTTTTGGTCTGGCCGGGTGGGTGGAGACTGGTGCCATGCCCAGGTCACAGGGAACAGAGCACAGTGCTGCCCTGAGCACCACAGCAGAGTGCACTTCCTCCCTTAGGGCAGGGGAGCAGAAGGCATGCTGTCTGTGGCGCTCTTGAGGCCCCACCCAGCACCAGGCTGGCATTTCCTCAGCATCAAAGCTTAGAATGAGGACTCCCCTGCCCGTCCCTACAGGATTACACAGTGCGTGGCCTCCTGGGCAAAGCTACAGACAACTTCTGTGAAGATGGGCGACTGATAGAGAAGTCAACTTACGGTGAGAGGCGGGGCGGGGGTGGGTGGGAGGGGTGGTTGCCTCCGCCTCCCTTTATTTCCTATCTCTGTGATTCTCTTCCTCACCTTTCCAGGTCACATTGGTGCCTGTTAGGTTTCTGCACACTAAGCTCAGGCTGGAGCTTTGCCCTTACCACCTGTCTCCCAGAATACCCCTTACCCGCTTCCTTTCCTGGTTCAAATGTTCCCACCCTGGGGAGCCTTCACCACCTCAGTCTCTCAGTAGATGCACTCAGAGTGGAAACCAGCTATGAATACTTGCTTACGATCTGTCTTTTCATTATCTCGGGACAGATGGACCGGGAAGTTCATCTTGTGGCCACACACTACATATGGGGCCAAGGATCTGTCCAGGCTTATTAGTGTAGGTGTAAGCTGGGTGTGGTGGCATGTGCCTTTAATCCCAGCACTGCTGGGACAGGACGATCTCTGAGTTCCAGGCAAGTCTGGTCTACATAGCAAGTTACAGGACAGCCAAGACTACATAGACTTATTTTAGTCTCAAAAAACTAAAATAATAATAAAATAATAACTACGTTTCTTGGTTTTTCAATACAGGGTTTTCTCTGTGTAGCTCTGACTGTTCTGGAACTCACTCTGTAGACCAGGTTGGCCTTAACCTAGAGATCCACCAGCCTCTGCCTCTTGAGCACTGATATTAAAGGTGTGCACCACCACTGCCCAGTATAACAACTTCTTAAAGGAGATTTGTGCTTTTTGTTGTTGTTGTTTAGAATGTACTAAGAACCAAACTCAGGGCCTTGTGCTTGCCCTACCACTAAAAATGCTGTAACCCTTCATATTATCAGTTACGTAACTAAAAAGTAGAGTAAAAGTCAAAGTATGCCAGTTAGTGGGGAAGACCCAGATGCAAAGTGACCAAGAGAGGCTAGGAGAACTGGGGTTGGGGGAGCTTTCTGGAAGAGGAAGCACGTGTTGGGCCTGTCAGAGGCGGGGAGACAGTGACAGGTAGATTCTAGGTAGCATGGTGGGTTCGGTGCAACCAGAAGGCTGTAGATGGCAACTGACTAGGCTTCAGCCCTACGCTGTTCCCAAATCCTGGTTCTGCTTAGAAGTTGGTGTTTGTCCCTGCTGTCTCAAGGCCTCGGCTTCCTCATAGTTTGTGAAAGTCCCAGGCTTAGGTGCTCAGTCCCTCACTGGGGCTTGGAGGCAGAGTTGCTCCTCCCTCAGGTGCTATCTCCTGCAGTCACTAGTTCAGTAGAGGGAACTCTTCAGACAGTGTGAATCTCACTGAGGAAAGAGTCCAGTTTTCATCAACTTAAAAATAACCTGTGTGTGTGTGTGTGTACTGTGTGCATGCTGGAGACTGATCAGAAGCATTAGCTCCTCTGGAATTGGTGCAGATGGTTGTGAGCCACCATGTGGGTTCTGGGGACAGCATCCGGATCCTCTTTAAGAGCAGCCAGTGTTCTCAGCCACTGGGCATCTCTCCAGCCCCTTCATCAAGTTGTTTTTTTGTTTGTTTTTTTGTTTGTTTGTTTGTTTTCGAGACAGGGTTTCTCTGTCTGTGTGTTTGGCTGTCCTGGAACTCACTCTGTAGACCAGGCTGGCCTCGAACTCAGAAATCCGCCTGCCTCTGCCTCCCGAGTGCTGGGATTAAAGGCGTGCGCCACCACCACCTGGCTTCTTTTTACCTTTTGAGACAGTCTTTCTAGCTGGCCTAAAACTCACTCTGTAGACCAGGCTGGCCTCTGACTCATAGAGACCTGCCTGTGCTCCTGAGTGCTGGGATTAAAGGCGTACACTACTACAATTGGCAACTTTTTATGTGTTTATTTATTAATAATACATATTTATTATTACATTGATTACTCATTTTTATTGTTAAATTTTGGAATGTAGCCCAGTCTAGCCTCCAAATCATTCTCCTGCTGCCCTCAGCTCTCAGGTCTGGGCTTACAGGCATGAACTACAAAGGAGCCAGCCTCCTATAAAAACCCCACACTGGGTGTTCTGGCCAGTTCCAAAATGGGCTCGTTTGGGGTAAATGGAGCTTGGCCAGTTGCTGTGGTCTGTCCTCTGGCCACCTGTAGACCGACACTCTCCTTACCCATGCCTCTTCCAGACCATGTGACCAGAGAGCGGCTAGACCGGATCCTGGCTATGATCCAAGGCTCCTACCAAAAAGCTCTGGTGATGTGAGTAGATCCAAGAGCTCCTCTGCCCCACAGGGGTTAGAGGGGAGGTCCATACTGCGCCACAGGGGTTAGAGGGGAGGTCCATACTGCCCCACAGGGGCTTAGAGGGGAGGTCCATACTGCGCCACAGGGGTTAGAGGGGAGGTCCATACTGCCCCACAGGGGCTTAGAGGGGAGGTCCATACTGCCCCACAGGGGCTTAGAGGGGAGGTCCATACTGCCCCACAGGGGCTTAGAGGGGAGGCCCATACTGCCCCACAGGGGCTTAGAGGGGAGGCCCATACTGCCCCACAGGGGCTTAGAGGGGAGGTCCATACTGCCCCACAGGGGCTTAGAGGGGAGGTCCATACCCCAGGGTATAGGACTAGGGTAGTGTGGATAATGGAATCCCCTAGGAGCTGAGAGCTTTCCCAAAAGCCCTCTGCCAGGCTGCTTAGGACTCCTGACTCCCAGGCATCAGCCCTGTGCTCCCAGGAAACTTAACTAGTCATCTGTAAGTTGGTCAGCCATTACCTGAGCACAGTGCTCCAGGCAGAGACAGAGCAGGGGCAGAGCCTACTGGGATTGCAAGAAGTGGCTCAATTGACAGAGCTCAAAGGATTCGCAGGAGCTGGGCTCTGTGCCCTGCACCCGCAGTGGGCGTGCCAGGACTGAAATGGCCAGTTGTGTTCAGAAGCCAAGGATCGGGGTTTGGGGTGGGAGGGGCTGGGACAGGGGCAGAGGGAAGCAGGTAAGGCTGGCTAGGGCACTGGGGACTGAGGATAGTTCTGAAGCAGCACTGTGGTCTCACTGAGGACCCTGTGAGGAAAGCTAGGCAGTGAAGCAGACAGGCTGTGAGGACAGTGCCCTGTGCTCATTGCTCCAAGTCTGATGACAGCAGGGAAAGCAGTGGCAGAGTAGAGGGAGACCTTAGAGAGGAGGGAGGATCACAGGAAAGAACGGACCAGGAAGGTACCAGGTACCAGGGCCTTGGAGCTGGAGCATTTGTTTGGGTGACCCTGGAGTTGGGTAGCCATTGAAGTCCCTGAGGGTTACACTTCTTAGATAAGGTGCCTGAGGGTGGGGCGCAGTGCACAGGCATGGTCAGCATTGCTCAGTCTGTGACAGATGAAGCCAGGCATTGACAAAGGATGCCTTTGGTGGCTGAGAGGAAGGCTGCTCGGAAGGTGGGTGGGAGAGTGGGGATGGGGGAATGGAAATGGGGAGAACAATGAAGACACCCCTTTCATGGTGGTGCAGATGCCCCACAGCAGCCTCCTACTCTGGCCTTCCTGAATACCAGGTACTCCAACTTGGACCTGAAGTCCCAGGAGGCCTATGAGATGGCTGTGCAAGGTGTGGTCCGGCCCATGAACAAGTCCCCAATGCTCATCTCTGGCATCCGCTGCCTGCAATTTGCACCTCCCGAGTTTCTTTTGGGTAAGTCACCCAGGAAGCTAGGGTGATGTGATGGGGTCACGTGTGGCATCCTAGCCCTGAGTAGCTTCTTCCCACAGGTCCAGGCTCAGCCTAACCCACAGGAACAGCTCAAAGGCTACGCTGTCTCCTGTCTATTCCCAAAGCATGTGAAGCCAGCCCTTAAGAAGCAGAGGCTGGGTCTGGCAGCTCAGTTCCAGAGCAGTTCCACCTTGTTCTAGGCCCCCCTCAAGACATGACTGTCACTTCCTGAGTCTCACCCAGCTCTGCCCCAGCCTCTTCCATGTTCCCTTGGCTTCTTCCCTGAGCGCTGACCAAAGCCCTCAGTGGTGAGCCCCACATGAAAGTGCTGTCTTGCACCTCACTCCTGATGCCTGTGTAGACCAAGTATGTGAGTGGTGCTGCCAGAAGCCCAGCCCAGGTGAGGAGAATGGAGGGCAGAATCTGGAGCTGGAGCCTGACCCAGAAGGTGCAGGGGGCTGCAGTCAGCAGCACTGCCTTGCTCTCGGCCCTACAGCAAAGCAAATAAGCATCTCACGAAGGATGCTCCTTGTGGAGAGGAGTCCAAGGGGCATGAATCCAGGCAGGTCAGCTTGGTCCCTGAAGCTTTTCCTAACAGTCATGTCTGTCTGTGTCCTACAGAGGTGCAGTGCATGCACGAGACACAGCAGCAGCTAAGGAAGCTGGTGCATGAGATTGGCCTGGAGCTGAAGACCACTGCTGTCTGCACGCAAGTGCGGCGTACTAGGGATGGCTTCTTCAGGCTGGATGATGCCCTCCTGAGAACCCAGTGGGACCTGCACAAAATCCAGGATGCTATCCAGGCAGCAGCCCCCCGGGTGGCAGTGGAATTGAAAAAGAACTTGAGCCTAAAGTTCGGCCACCAGCAGCCCCCCAGGACTGGGCAAGCTTGGGGCTTCAGGGGCCCACGCTCCACTTCTAAGTTGGAAAACTGTGCAGGGGAGTGAAAGGCCAGGCAGGCGCCCGGATGTAGGGGCAAACAGGCTCTTCACAAGGTAGAACCGGTCACTCTGCAGAGTGAGATCAAGGGCCCTGAGCCGTCATCTCAGCAAAACAGAAGTACAGGAGGGAGACTTCGTCTACATCTGTGATCTTAGTACTATTCGCTGAGGCAGGAGATGGCTCTGAGTTTGAGGCCAGCCTGGTCTGGTTTTCTGGAGTACTTTGTATGTGTGTCAGTATGTAGTGTCCTGCCAGTCAGAATGCAAACCTGTGATCATCACCTAGGTGGTGGAGACAGAAGGCTCAAGAGTTCCAGGTCATCTTTGGCTACATAAGTTGGAGGCAACATGAAACCTTACATCAAGACAATATAAAAAGCCCAGAGTTATTTTTAAAAGGTTTTGTTCTTATGCGTGTGAGTATTTACACGTGTGTTGTGTTTATGCACCCCTTGCATCGTGGAGGCTAGACAAAGATGTAAGAACCCTATGGGCTGGCCTTAAAAGGCAGTTGTGAGCCACCATGGAGATGCTGGGAATGGACCACTGGTCCTCTGGAAGAACAGCCTTAACCACTGACCCATTTCTCCAGTATTTAATTTAATTGCCTGTCCTGTGATGCAACAGCTGTAACTATCCAGTACCCTGGCTGTAAACAGTTACAGACTGATAGTCTTGGTGTCTACAGTGTAAACGCTAGCAGGAGAGCAGAGGATTGTGTTCTCTGCGTGGCACTGGTCTAAGGGGTGGTATGGAGAAGACACAACGGGTTTATAATATACAGTGTTTTTGTCCTTTGAAAGGTGTATGGAGGTTTAATTACCCCTCCAACTCTTCTTCAACGCCATGCCCATTATGTCCCCACTCAGCCTCAAGTCAGCTGTCTTTATCAGTCCCTGAGACCAATTAGCATGGGCATGGGGCCATCCACAGCCTACCCCTCCTCCAGTAGCCCGTCAGTTACCAATAGGGCCACAAGGTGGTGGGATCCCCTAAGCCCCTTTGTGTGGTAAATAATATTAATTGAGAGTTTCCAACCTGCCTTATTTAGTTCCCAGATAAAAGACAAAACCTTTACACGTGTAAAAAGCCTCTATGGCTATTTTGTCTACTCTGCCAATAACTGAGGTATAACTTGCCATGTTCTTGCCTCTTATCCACTGGCCACTCTTATCCACTGGACACCCCTCTTGGCCGGTTTTTACTATCCCTTACCCCATAGTGTCTTCCTCTCTCTGCTCTCTTCTCTCTTTGTGGTCTATCCCTCAGACCCCAAGCCCCATCTCCCCCTCTTCTGCCCAGCTGCAGCCTGTAGGTGTCTTTATCGACCAACCAAGAATAACTTCCGGGGGCAAGGTTACATAGCATCACTTGGCACATGTGAGGATCTTCTCTTCCTGAGGCAAACAAACCTTGGCCAGTATTTAGCATTACAACACATAACAGACCAAACCCCTGACACCCCTTCTGTCCTTGCTGGAAGGTTGACTGGCTTGGTTGTGTGCAGACAGCCAGAGCTGCTATGAGACTGTCATGCCCAGAAGACACTTTTCCAGTAATGTCCCCTGTCCCTGGCTTCCGAGATGTGCCCCAAGCCCTGAAGGAGATAGTGTGATGCAGATGTGCCATTCAGGTGCAGCTACTCCTGTCACTTACTGTGCACCTCGAGCACCCGTGACTCTTGTTAACTGCTGTCTACTGAATGATGAGGTTTCATGAGGCCTGAGAGCTGCTCTCACCTATTTGTGTAAAGATGGCTGTCTACAGGGCAGATGAGCAAGACAGCAGGAGTTGCTTCTCTCCTAGGATCTCAGCTATAGGTTCTTGGCCCTCCTGTGGAGTAAGCCCTAAATCTGAGCAGTGAATGGTTACCTCCCTAATTAATATTAGTGCCACTGCTGCAGTAATGGACATATATCTTGCCAGGGCAGTCTTCTGTTATGGCTTGAGGGTTCACAGCTACACACGCTGTTAGTTGGCTTTTCTCCCTGAGCAACCTGCACAGCACCTTCCAATGCTATGAAAGGAGGTTTCCAGGCTGATTTCTAGATTCATTTCTTCATGTACTGTGAGCACAGTGTGTGCCCTCAGCAACATGGTCTGTCACCGTATTCTGGTGGTAACCAAGAGCAATAGCATTAGCTTGTATTGTTTGGGGATCTGAGGGACCATCCTGAAAAAGGGAGGTATCCCACAGTTGACAGGAGCATTTTAATAACTATGGCTTCTGGGGCAGAAGTTTAGCCCCTGTGTCAATGTAGTGTATCTCCATTTAAACTCTCTTAAAAACATACATACATACATACATAAGAATATAAATTTTTTAATTGTTTTCAAGACAGTTTTGCTATGTAATCTTGGAACTCACTTTGTAGGTCATGCTGACATTGAGCTCACAGCATCTGACTACCTCTGCCTCCTGAGTGCTCGGATTAAAGGTGTATGCCACTACATTGGCTTAATTACATTTTTTAATAAATTACCAATTCAGCCCAACTGGGTGTCCGGGAATCGCCAGAGATCTTCACCTCTTTAGCTGGGATTACAAGTGTAGTTTTCCTGCTTCTTAAACATGGTGCTGGGGGCTGGTGAGATGGCTCAGAGGTTAAGAGCACTGACTGCTCTTCCAGAGGTCATGAGTTCAAATCCCAGCAACCACATGGTGGCTCACAACCATCTGTAATGATATCTGATGCCCTCTTGTGGGGTGTCTGAAGACAGCTACAGTGTACTTACATATAATAAATAAATAAAAATTTAAAAAAAAAAAAAAAAAAAAAAAACAGAAATATATATTTGCCGGGCTGTGGTGGCGCACGCCTTTAATCCCAGCACTTGGGAGGCAGAGGCAGGCGGATTTCTGAGTTCAAGGCCAGCCTGGTCTACAGAGTAAGTTCCAGGACAGCCAGGACTACACAGAGAAACCCTGTCTCAAAAACCAAAAAAAAAAAAAAAAAACATGGTGCTGGAGGTCTGAACTAAGGTCATCTTGCAACTTTCACCGACTGTGTCTCCCTCCATTTTTTGAGGCAGAGTGTTACATTGTAGCCCAGGCTGGCTTCAAACTTGCAAGTTCTCCTGCCTCTGACTCCTGCGTGCTGGGTTCACGGGTGTGGGTTCACTTGCATTAGCTTAGCTATGTGCCTGAGGTGTGAGAGGCCATTCCCACCAGGATGCCTCTGCTCCATGCTTTCCATGTGGCTGTGTGCCATCTGTGGAAACTGGCTCTGACTGTCATCACGTTTCACCCTTCCGTGGTGGCCTCCAGGGCAGCTTGCAGCTCTAAGCAATAGAGGCTCCTGGCTAGGAGATACACTCAACTTCTCCATCCATGGAATGGGAATAATGACTTTGACCATCATGTGAAGTTACTTTGGGCAAACAAAATCAGGTGTCAGTGCTGTGGTCTGGCAGATCTGAGTTGTCTGTACTGTCTTTTTTTTTTTTCCCCCTTTGAGACCAGGTTTCTCTGTGTAGCCCTGGCTGTCCTGAAACTCACTCTGTAGACCAGGCAGGTCTCGAACTCAGAAATCCACCTGCCTCTGCCTCCCAAGTGCTGGGATTAAAGGCGTGCACCACCACTGCCCGGCGTCTGTACTGTCTTCTAAGTGCTGACTTCGGAGCCAGAACAATGACAGAAAGATACAGAATCAGGCCTTCCCTCCATCTCTTGTTTCTGTGGTGTTAACGATCTGCCACAGGTAATCGGACAGATAAGCCGATGATGTAAGTCAGGCTGAAAGCATGTAGCAACCCCGGCCCTTTCTGCAATCCTTCCAATGACCCATGCTCTCCGTCTTATCATCAGATAAAGGAGGCTCCAGTGGAGGGGTAGCAAGCAAGTTATCTGACCAATGTCTAATGCAGGCACAGACTAAGCAACTGTCCCAGCTGAGAGGATCCAAGAGACAGGATGGCTTAGTGCAGTGTTTCCTGGGTGAGGCTCAAGAGTAGAGCAAAGATAGTGAGACACAGCTAAGGAAGGGGATCTTTGACCAGCAGTGCTCTGCAGGTACAAATACACCTTCAGTCACAGATAGAAGTCTGCATCATAAGGAACTGTGTACTTTGGCACTGTGTTCTCTCAACAGTATCAGAAAACAACATAAGGAATTAGTTATGGGTACCATAACATGAACCTATAATCCTGCTGCTGTGATAAAGGCTGAGTCAGAAGGATCATGAGTTCAAGGCCAGGTTGTTGAAGGCCTGAAGTGATGACTCAGCACTTAGGGCCACTGTCTGCTCTTCTGAGGACCAGGGTTCAATTCTCAACACCCATGTTGAGTGGCTTGCAGCTGCCTGTAACTCCAGCTCCAGGGGATCAGATGCCTTCTGGCCTCCATGGGTGCCTGCATGTGTGGCATAAACACACACTTGAACATAATCTTTTTGTTCTTTTTTTTATTTTAATTATAGCTCTGCTTACAAGCATGTGCTACTCTTCCAAAAATCTTTTGGTTCCAAGCACCCACATGGTGGCTTACAAACATCTGTAACTCTAGTTTCAGGGGATCCAATGCCCTGTTCTGGCCTCCTTGGACACCAGGCAGATAAATGGTGTACATACATACATTCAGACAAAACACTCATACACAAAATAAATCTTTCCAAAGATTGGAAAGTCCAGTATGATGGCACATAGCATCCAGAAACCAGAGGCAGAAAGATCTCTTGAGTTTGAGGCCAGCCTGTTTTACATAGTGAGTTCCAGACCTAGACTACTTAGTGAGACCCTGTCTCAAGTCCCCTCCACCCTTCAGCCCTGGATGTCCTGGAACCTGCTTTGTAGACTAGACTAGGCTGCCCTCAGACTCAAAGATTTCCCCACCTTTAAGGCATGCATCAGCAGGTGACCAGTCGTTTTGTTTCTTACAAAAGTGGAATCTATAATTTGTGTATGCAGTACAATGCAGCTTTCTTCTTTGATTTAGCAATAATGCATGGCAATTTTTCATCATGCCTGGGCATTCATTTACATAGAGTCCTTCAGGGTGACTAGAGAATTGGGCCATTTTGAGAAAGGGCCTATCTATGTCGCTCTGACCTCTGCCTTCCTTGGGCAAGTTCCTTCCTATTGAGAAACTGTTGCCCCAGGATGAGTCACTTTGTCAAAGACATGCGCTCCAGTCAGTTTATGCAATACAGCTGGACAGTGTTAATCTGTGCTTACTGTTGTGGGCTCTGGTAATGCATATGTACCCAGGACAGCCAAAATTCAGTGCAGAGAAGGTAGCAGTATTCAATAGTCACAAAAACTGATTCTTTGAGTAAAGGCCAGAAGACAAGAGCCAAGAAATCTAGAAATCAAGGAAACACAGAGCTCACTGCTGAGTGGCCCCATTGCTAGGAAGCCAGTCTCACCAAGGCCTTTAAAACCTGATGGGCAAGTGTTAGCTGTTCTCATAAAGGGTTTTCATAAAGCTGTTTTCATAAAGGCTATCTCTTGGTTTGACTCAGAAACCCTGATGACCTGCCTTGGGTTCTGTGCATTTGATTGAATGTCAGCCCAGGATCAGAGCTAGCCTGCTCCTTCAGAGGGTCTGATGAATTGGACCTTGATCTTGTTATCAGCAGGCTGGGGTGGCTTGGAGACACTCGGGTGAGGAGACTGTTATTAGTAACACTAGTTGTCACTAACTGAGGGGTAGGTGCTTCTTGTGTATCACATTGGTTATTCACCCCCTCATCTGGGACAGAAGATGTGGTTAACCTCAGTTTAACCTGCATACCACCTACATATATGCCCCAAAGAAGTACACAGCTTCAGCTCAGAGTCCCCTGGATCCTGGCCAGAGCAATGCGCAATCCCCTGGATGTGTAGACTCAGCCAGTTTGCTATGGAGACCAGGGAAGGTACACATAGTGATAGCCACCTGCACTGTGATCCTGTAGACAAGATACACAGAACATGGTTTGTTTTGACCTCATTATGTAGCCCAGGTTAGCCTCAAACTCCTTTTTTCCCTTTACCTGTGGAAGCAGGACTTCTCAACTGAACCCAGAGCTCGCCAACAGCCAGTCTGTTTAGTCAGCTGCCTCCAGAGATCTTTCTGTCTCTTGCCTTGTGAGCACTGTCACATCCCTGATCTGGGGATCCAAACTCTGGTCCTCACATTTGCTGCTTTAAAAACAAGCCCCTTAATTGCTGGGCGGTTTCTCAGCCCCTAGACTTTTAGACAGGGTCTCACTTAGTAATCGTGACTGACCTGGGACTTTCCATACAGACTAGGTTGGCCCGAAACCCACAGAGATCTGCCTGCCCATGCCTCTCTCAAGAGTTGGGATGAAGTCGGGCGGTGATGGCGCACGCCTTTAATCCCAGCACTTGGGAGGCAGAGGCAGAGGCAGGCGGATTTCTGAGTTTGAGGCCAGCCTGGTCTACAGAGTGAGTTCCAGGACAGCCAGGGCTACACAGAGAAACCCTGTCTCCAAAAAAAAAAAAAAAGAGTTGGGATGAAAGGCAAATGCTGTCACAGCTGAGGGCCAGTGAGGTGGCTCTGCAGGTTAAGGCCCTTTGCTGTGAAGACCTGAGTTTAAATCTTGGAACCCACAGTAGGTGGGAGACAGGGCAGCAGTTCCCTGATAAACACACACACACACACACACACACACACACACACACAAACAGACACACACACTGTGGCGGCTGGCTTTCTCACTCACACAATATCCATAAAAAGGTAAACTTAAGCTCTTTCTGTTACAAAGTCCACCCTCATTTCTGAGTTCGAGGCCAGCCTGGTCTACAGAGTGAGTTCCAGGACAGCCCGGGCTATACAGAGAAACCCTGTCTCAAAAAAGCAAAAGCAAAACAAACAAACAAACAAACAAACAAAAAAACCCCAAAGTCCGCCCTCAAGAACACAGGTAGATGGGATAGAGATGGCTCGGTGGTTAAGAGCTCTGGCTGCTCTCCCAGAGGGGAGTTGGGCTTTGTCACATGGAGTGGTTCACAACCACTTATACCTCCTGCTCCAGGAGATCTAGTGCCCTCTTCTGGCCTCTTCTGGCATCTGCACATATGTGTGTGTAAACTCACACACTTTTTTTTTTTTTTTAATCTTGAGAAAAAATAAAAACACCAGCAAACACATTAAACAGACTCATCCACTTCCAAGTTTGCCAGTCACCTGTCTGGGTGACACGGCATGTAGAGGAGGGTGACACGGCATGTAGAGGAGGGGTATAGGCCTGGGTTTAGGTCATTTCTACCTCTGCTGTGAGCACCTCCCCCTATATGGACTCCAGTCCCAACTATGGGCTTTAATGTGTATTCTTTTACTTTGATTTTGCTGTTTTTTTTCAAGATAGGGTCTCATGTAGCTCAGGCTAGCCTTGAACTCTCCGTCTTCCTGCCCAAGTGTTGGAGGGGTGTGTGCATCAGCACACACACACACACACACACACACACACACTCTCTCTTTAAAAAATGTAAAAACCTTGGTGAA